AATGTTGTGTCAAATTCCAGTGTAAAGCACAATTTTTCAGTTATACATGAACACATACATGTTCATTGTCACATTTTTTCTGTTATCTACCTTAAGATCTTATATATATTTCCCTGTGCTCTACAGTATAATCTTGTTTATCTATTCTACAATTTTGAAATTCCATCTATCCCTTCCCACCCTCCACCCCCTTGGCAACCACAAGTTTGTATTCTATGTCTATGAGTCTATTTCTGTTTTGTATTTATGCTTTGTTTGTTTGTTTGTTTGTTTTAGATTCCACATATGAGCGATCTCATATGGTATTTTTCTTTCTCTTCCTGGCTTACTTCACTTAGAATGACATTCTACAGGAACATCCATGTTGCTGCAAATGGCATTATGTTGCCAGTTTTTATGGCTGAGTAGTATTCCATTGTATAAATATACCACTTCTTCTTTATCCAGTCATCTGTTGATGGACATTTAGGCTATCTCTATGTCTTAGCTACTGTAAATAGTGCTGCTATGAACATTGGGGTGCAGGTGTCATTTTGAAGTAGGGTTCCTTCTGGATATATGCCCAGGAGCAGGATTCCTGGATCTTATGGTAAGTCTATTCCTAGTCTTTTGAGGAATCTCCATACTGTTTTCCACAGTGGCTGCACCAAACTGCATTCCCACCAGCAGTGTAGGAGGATCCCCTTGTCTCCACAGCCTCTCCAGCACAAAATGCTATAATTTCTTTAACCACTTCTTTGTTGGTTGACATTTAGTTTGATTTCAAGTATTTGGCTGTTACAAACATTTCATGCAATGACTGTACTTACATGTCTTTGGACACATGTGTAGATAGATAGCTATAGAACAAATTTCTGGAAGCTGAATTGCTAAGTGGCAGGACTTCTCTATTTTCAATTTAGACAAAAAGTTCAAATATTGCTTCTAAAGAGCTTGTACCATTAGACTGTTGGTAGGAGACTATATTGGCAGAAACTCTCTGAACTGCCTGCTTTCATCCTTTGCCCATATTTTTGGTTGAGTTGTTGATCATTTTCACATTGATTCTTAAGGGCTCTTTATGTATTACAGATAATTAGCCTTTTGTTCTCTGTGCTTTTAATTCTTTTCTCATTTTCTGTCATATTTTTATTTTGATTTTGTTCCTAGTATTTTCTTCTGCAAAACAATCATTATATAATCAAATGTAACAAACTCTCATTTATGGCTTTAAAACAGTATGTCTTGCTTGAAAAGGTCATTCTTTAAGTAACATATAAAAAACTATCTTATGTTTCTTTCTATAACAGTTCCATGTTTATATGTTTAAATCTTTGATCTTATGGGATTTACTCATTTTAAAACAACTTTATTGAAATATAATAACATCAAATCATTCACCCATTTAAAGTGTACAATTCGATGGATTTTAGTATATTTACAGAGCTGTGCAATCATCACTTGAGATTTACTTTTGTGTATGGTGTGAGGCAGGGATTCAGCTTAGTGTTTCCTCTGGTAGCTAGTTAGTTTTCTTAACACTATGTATAGAATAAGCCATGTTTTTTCACACTGACTTTAAATACACTTTTGATAAATTCATTGACTTCCTCCAACTGCTCTCTAAGGTTAGTATTATTCTTCCCATTTTCCAAATAAGGGAATTAGGACTCAAATCTGTTAAGTCAAACCATGCTGCCTACCAACAAGAGGAAAGGATTCCAACAATAAGATTTTCTTTGTCTTCCTTTCTTGCTCTACTTTAATTCATTCAAAAAGATTTACTGAGGGCCCATTATATACCAGGCTTTGTGCTAATATTGGGGTACAGAGAAGAAAGCCACAGGCCTTGTTGATAAAGCAATCCAGAACAGAGGCAAGACAGATAAGAAGAAGGACAGGTACAGTGCATCATGCTACACTCCTGAGAAGAGGTACAGAAAGTCTCTTACATCTAATACCAGTCTCCCCAAATTTAACCCCCATGTGGCAACATGGATGGACCTGGAGATTGTCATTCTAAGTGAGGTAAGCCAGAAAGAGAAAGAAAAATGTCATATGATATTGCTTATATGGGGAATCTAATAAAAAAAAGACACAAATGAACTACTTATTATTTATAACTTAGATGACTGATTCTTGAATATGCATAAGCACATGTGACTGTGCTTTGTGATTGAATTCTGCATTTTGTTGATTCTTGCTTTCCAGTTGGCTTTATT